ACCTCATCTTTACCATGGACGTCCAGTCCCTCTACACCTGCATTCCCCATGCAGATGGCCTTAAGGCCCTCCGCTTCTTCTTGTCCCGCAGGCCCGACCAGATCCCCTCCACTGATACCCTCATCCGCTTAGCCGAACTCGTCCTCACACTCAACAACTTCTCTTTCAATTCCTCCCACTTCCTACAGACAAAGGGGGTAGCCATGGGTACCCGCATGGGCCCAAGCTACGCCTGCCTCTTTGTAGGTTACGTGGAACAATCCCTCTTCCGTACCTACACCGGCCCTAAACCCCACCTCTTCCTCCGTTACATTGATGACTGTATCGGCGCCGCCTCGTGCTCCCACGAGGAGCTCGAACAGTTCATACACTTCACAAACACCTTCCACCCCAACCTTAAGTTTACCTGGACCATCTCTAACACCTCTCTCCCCTTCCTGGACCTCTCTGTCTCCATATCGGGCAACCACCTAGAAACCGATATTCATTTCAAGCCCACCGACTCCCACAGCTACCTAGAATACTCCTCCTCCCACCCACCTTCCTGCAAAAATGCTATCCCCTATTCCCAATTCCTTCGCCTCCGCCGCATCTGCTCCCAGGATGAGGCATTCCACTCCCGTACATCTCAGTTGTCCTCGTTTTTCAAGGACCGTAACTTCCCCTCCTCGGTGGTCGAGAACGCCCTCAACCGTGTCTCCCACATCTCCCGCACCTCATCCCTCACACCCCGTCCACGCAATAAAAACCAAAAAAGAATCCCCCTCGTCCTCACGTACCACCCCACCAACCTCCGGATCCAACGCATCATCCTCCGACACTTCCGCCATCTGCAATCCGACCCCACCACCAAAGACATCTTTCCCTCCCCACCCTTATCTGCTTTCCGGAGGGACAACTCTCTCCGTGACTCCCTTGTCCGCTCCACACTCCCTTCCAGCTCCACCACACCCGGCACTTTTCCCTGCAACCGCAGGAAGTGCTACACCTGCCCCCATACCTCCTCCCTCACCCCCATCCCAGGCCCCAAGAAGACTTTCCACATCAAGCAGATGTTCACCTGCACATCTGCCAATGTGGTATACTGCATCCACTGTACCCGGTGTGGCTTCCTCTACATCGGGGAAACCAAGCGGAGACTCGGGGACCGCTTTGCAGAACACCTACGCTGCACCTCCCAGTCGCGAACCATTTCAACTCCCCCTCCCATTCCTCAGACGACATGTCCATCCTGGGCCTCCTGCAGTGCCACAACGATGCCACCCGAAGGTTGCAGGAACAGCAACTCATATTCCGCTTGGGAACACTGCAGCCCAATGGTATCAATGTGGATTTCACAAGTTTCAAAATCTCCCCTCCCCCTACCGCATCCCAAAACCAGTCCAGCTCGTCCCTGCCTCCCTAACCTGTTCTTCCTCCCATCTATCCCCTCCTCCCACCTCAAGCCGCACCTCCATCTCCTACTGACCAACCTCATCCCGCCCCCTTGACCTGTCCGTCCTCCCTGGACTGACCTATCCCCTCCCTAACTCCCCACCTACACTCACCTTTACTGGCTCCATCCCCGCCTCTTCGACCTGTTTGTTTCCTCTCCACCTATCCTCTCCTCTATCCATCTTCTATCCGCCTCCCACTCTCTCCCTATTTATTTCAAAACCTCCTTCCCCTCCCCCTTTTCTGATGAAGGGTCTAGGCCCGAAACGTCAGCCTCTCTGCTCCTATGATGCTGCTTGGCCTGCTGTGTTCATCCAGCCCTGCACCTTGTTGTCTTGGATTCTCCAGCATCTGCAGTTCCTACTATCTCTGGCCTATATTTCCCCATCTTTTGTCTACGTCGTTTTTTAAACAGTGGCGTCACATTGGCTGTTTTCCAGTCTGCTGGAACGGCTCCAAAGCCCAGCAAATTTTGGACAATTACCATGAGTGCATTTGCTAATACACCCACCATCTCTTTTAGTACCCTGGGATGCATTACATCAAGGCCAGGAGACTTGTCTACCTTTATCTCTTTCATGATAGTGATTGTGTCTAGATCCTCACCTACTTTAGTCTCTTTCACCTTGGAGAGAAGAAACATGGAGAGCCACTACAAGCTCAATCGTACAACTTTGAGGGGAGTACAGGAGCAAAGGGATCTCAGGGTTCGCATGCATTATTTTCTGAAAATGGTCAGGCAAATTCAGTTCATAGTTCTTAGAATCCCTACAGTGTGGAAACAGGCCCTTTGGCCCAACAAGTCCACACCGACCCAAAAAGCATCCCACCCAGACCCATCACCCTATAAATCCACCTAATCTACACATCCCTGAACACTATGTGCAATTTAGCATGGCCAATCCACCTAGCCTGCACATCTTTGGACTGTGGGAGGAAAGTGGAGCACCCAGAGGAAACCCACGCAGGCATGGGGACAATTTGCAAACTCCACACAGTTATTAAGATGGCTTATAGAATCCTTGGAATTCTAATTAGTGGCATAGAGTATAAAAGCAAGGAAGTGATGCTATGCCTGTACAAATTATTGGTCAGACCACATTTGGCATATTGTGGTCAGTTCTATACACCTTATTTAAGGAAGGATGTTAAAGTCTTGGAGAGAGTGCAAAGGAAATTTACTTGAATGATACAAGGAATGAGGGATTTTAGACACAAGGAATAATTTGAGAAATGGTGCTGATTATCCTTGGAATAGAAGATTGAGAGGTGATCTCACTGAGATGTTCGAAATTATGAACAATTTTGACAGGGTAAAGAAGCATACTCTGTTTTCACCAGTTCCTTTGTCAGTAATTAGAGGTCATAATTTCAAGATTGTGAACAAGAGAGCTGAAAATGAAATGAGGAGAAACTTCTTTGTTCAAACAGTTTTTAGGATTTGGAATATACTGCCTGGGAGAGTAGTGGAGGTGGATTCCATAGAAGGTTTCAAAAGAGAGCTCGATGTATATTTGAAAATGATGTATTTAGAGGCTGTGGAGATAGGGCTGGAGAATGTTTCTAGTTGGGTAGCTTTTCAGGAACTGGTACAGACACAATTGATCAAATGGCTTCCTTCTGTATTTTAAAGCTCTACGATTCTATACACAAATACAATAGTTAGAAATCATGCCTGCTAAATATAAACTGTTTCCAACTTCTCTTTTACAAACTTGAGATTTTGATCTCTTGCAAATGTGACAACTATTTGAACAGACTGATATTTTTCTTGTTTATGACCTTTAAGATTGCCCTGAACCTTCATTTCTGCAGTGTAAAACCTTCCAGCTTCTCTTCATAAGTTGAGTGTCTAATCCCAGATATCAATTTGGTAGCCCTTCGTTGCAGTCTCTCCAATGCCTAAATGGTTTGCACATATATAGTTACCTTACTGCACACAATACTCCAGGTGGAGATGAACTATTGCTCTATATAGAATTAGAATCACTTCTTGAGATTTATTCTCCATTCAGCTGACGATTCAGAGGGAAAACTCGTTGGACATAGATATTATAAAGACATTCTGAG